CCATCCCACCCACCGGTTACGCGGACAGAGACGGACGTCTCGTTCACAGCAGCTGCTGCCGCGCAACTCGACGGATTACGATTTTCGGAATCGAATCCTTTGATAACCGTAATAATGTATTGTTATTCCGAAATCAATTATTAGGCGGTACACGGAAAACCGCACTAACCCGCCGCCGAGCCCCACCACTACACTTTCGCGCGCCACCACTATTTCACCGCCGTGGACCACGGGGTCCAAACGTTTTCCGAGCAGTCTGCACTCTGCAGTACCGCGTGCAACAATCCTACGTGCGTGAAGTCGGCTGCGCACGACAGGTAGTACACGTTGTTGTTATTATTATTATTATTATTATTATTATTATTTCCGTGCTCGATCGAGGTTCACAACTCGTCACACGCGATATTGCTATTATTTCGTGTTTGTAATGTTTGTATATTGTTGTTCGTTGTCGTCGACATTCGTACACCGGTAACCGTGTCGTTTTGCCCGTCCCGTCGGTTAATGTTGTGCTGCAATAATAGTATAATATTTTATTGAAAAATTGGTACGGTATAACTCGCCCACCTAACCACGCCGTCGACGAGACCACCGCGCCCGTCCACACGCCCCCGCCAACGCCGCCGCCACCGCCACCGTACACCGTAAACCCGTAAGGTGATTTTTTTCTAAAAAAATTCGATTAGTTGTTTCGTAGCAATACTACCCGATCTCGAGACTGATCTAACCCATGTGAATATTTTATTACACTTTGAACTGTTTAATCGAAACTCTGCATCGCTCGATAGGTAAATATAGCTCGTATTAGTCGGGTTTAAAAAGATGGGGAATGTGTAACCGTGTATTGGCTCCCTTTTGAAAAAGTTATTTTGCTAAGGTGAGCTGAATTGGTTGGTTCCCGTCTAATGTTGTGATGTCTCGCCCTACTCGTCGAGTTCGTTATCGCTATGGTGATCAAGTATGTACATACGCACATTTTCTTTCTCGATTTTGCATTTTCGCAGGCTTAGGTTGACTGTCAACTTTAAAGTAAGCACGTTTAAAAATGTACGTTAGCGATCGTTGAAGTGGTAGTCCAACGGTCATCACTTGTATAGAACAATAATAATAATAATTAAAAATTAAGGTAATGATTAATAATCTAAATTTAAAATTTAAACTTTTTAAGGTGAAAATTTGAAGCCTACTTTTTTTAAATATTTTATTCGTGAAAGTGGCCCATAACGTAATCGTCATACAGTTTTTCAAATATTAGATTAAAATTTTGTTTGCTGGTAATAGTTTCTTTGATTATTACTGCGAAATTTAATATAATTATACTATAAAGTATGCATTTATATTTTATACTACCTAATTTATATTTCATACGAATTATACATTAATTTGATTTTATATTGTAAAAATTTCTTTAAAATGAAAATTCGAACTATTTTTATTAATATTAGTATTTAGTTTAGTAATAGGACTGAACAGAAACGGAAACCAATTTAACTCATTTTAATAAAATATCGTTTTTAAACTACTTTATTCGGTACCAGTCAAGCATGTTGGTAAGCGAGTAGGTTAGAATAAGTAACGAGAGTAAACAAGGGGAAACGCGCTATGACCTGTGTGCAAGTATATTTGTATGTACCAATATTGTAATATTGACAATTGTGAGTATTGATGTATTCGCTTTGTTATACATATGCGCTTTAATCTTGCATTTTTAGTATTTAGACGTGTAATCTGTAATGAACAAAGTAGGTATTTTAACTGTTAAAAATCTGCAGGAGATACCGAACTATATTACATTTTAATGTATATATATTAGATACGTATATTTAAATACATCTTATAGTATTATCTATTTTTTCTAACAGTTAATACATTATGAGACACTTGAAGCTTATTAAACTTAACACATAACCGGTGTAAAATTATAAATTATAGTTCAAGCGTGTGCTGCGTATATAAATAGATATAGTAAAGTGTAGACTATTTAATAATATTTATAAATATTTCAGCTAAATTAATATGCATACGTCTTTGCAATTTTAACATCACAAATATTCAATGAGACTAATTTTCAAACATAGAAAATTTTAAATTACAAATAGTTTTCATCTTTGATTAGTTTAATACTAAATAAAAGTAAATATTCTTAAAATACACGTATGGAGGGGTAATTTTGTTTGTTCAAAGGGAACGGAAATAAAGAATAAGTAAGAATAAAATATCAAATCGAAAATAATAGGGCAGTCAAAATGAAAATGGTAGAATTTGCATAGAGTTTCTTCAAGATTGAACGTGCACATGTAGTTAAAAGTTGAAGAGAAGTATATAAGAATAGGAAGGTGGCAGATAATGGTCGACTGACTGAGCGTTAAACGCGAGAATGCGATTATAATACAGAAGGAAAGTGAAAAGTCATTTTCTAATAATATATTAGGAATAGAGCCTAGGGCTACTATACTATAGGCTATGAAGCATAATCAATAATGGTAAATGTCTTGAGTTTTATTTTTAAGTACTTAAAATTATTAAAAATACTTAGTATTTGAATAACTAAATAAACATTTACTTATTCCATATTTATTCTAAAAGAGCACAATATTGTTTAAGATGTACAACGTGTTTATATTAAAACATTTCTTGTTATGAAGAAATATTATTCAGTATTGTTCATTCATTTGAAATTTGAATAATAATAACTGAATTATTTATGCGTTTTAAAAAATGTATGTTAGCGGTTAAATAAAATTACTGTTTTTTACTTTGTATATTAAAAAAGTACGTACACATACTTATTATGAATCTATTTCTGTTAAAAATCTACATAATTAACGACTTTTTACGTGAATTCTAAATACATACGTAAGACTCGTAAATTAGTTGCAACTATAATCTTGTTGTGGGTTTTCAATCAAATTCGTTAATATTTTTTCAATATGTTTATCTCCAAAATAAAAGCTTTGACTTGATTTGCAAATTTAAGTATTTGAATGACTAACAATATTATAATATTATTATCTCATATTAATTTTAACATACAGTTCATTATTGTAGTCTTGTTTACTTTACAGTTAGGTATTAGGTATATCGTATATGCATTTTCAAACGTTGAACTTTTGGAATTTTAATCTGTAGTCCGATGTGTCATTTTTAATTATACATCTTAATTTAACGACCAAATTAAATTCAGCAATCTCTTATTGATATGCTTTTTTTTTTATTAATATTATTATCAAGGTTAAATAAACATAATATCGACTAATTGTAACGATTAGCGTGTCCCATTGACAATTACTAAATGGTCGATGTTTAATGAATAGGCGACAAACGATGTTCATACAATATAATTTGAATACATATCACGATTTGATTAATAAAATTAGAACATATAGACATAAAATATAATTAACTACGACTTCTAGGGTCTATATAATGTAGTTTTACTGTATATATAAATGCATAAAATCAATATGATATTGATTGAATATTTTGGTATGCGTATACCTATATTCAAGTCAATGAAAATTTAAATTATTATTTAAATTTTTTTATTCCCCTGTATATATACACATACATTTTAACTAATTATTGTCTACACGGTTTAATTAGTAATTATAATTACTTACTACAAAGGTATTGTGTAGTATTATATCTACCAATTTCCAGCTATTTGTGTTTATCAGTAGATTTCTATGTATAAATAATGTAATATTGTGGTATAAAATTATTATTATTAAAAAATAGTAATGAATAGGTAATTTTATATTTGATTGCAAAGCATTTAATGGTTAATTAGTTATCCTCAATTTGTTAGATTAGTCTGAAAATAAATGTATCATTTTTTATCGACAATACTGACAATATTCTTTCACATCCAATTTGATTCATTCTCTGTTTGCAGTAAAAGCGAAATAATTTTTGATTAGTTATAATTTTTAAATAATTGTTATGGTTATAACATCCAATGCAGTAATAAAATATTTTACTTAGAAATTCACCGCGTGAAAATTTAAAGAAATACCTACGTAATTTTGTTTTAAATATTACGACTGTATTATTATGAGTAATAAAGTATGGGTAACTACATTACATATGGTTTGCATGAATTAATAAGTGTGATAATTTTAATTTATACGTTTTAATTATTTTGAATTCACTAATATGATTGTGTAGGTTAATAATTCTTATGAAATTATATATTCATAAAATTATAATACATAGTTTAATAGTAAAATTATAGTTCCATAAAGAAAATTATAATAAAAAAAAAATTAGAATACCTATCAATTAGTTAAAGATATTCCATCCTAAGGGTGACTAAATATTTTAAATTAATATGTTTTAATCTATCAGAATATTTGTTTTCCTATAATAATATTATATAGTTATTTAGATAGTACATAATATGTGTGTAGATTTATTTACTGATCTACACTTTTATTATAATCTTGTTATTAATTTGTATATATATATATATATTTTACAAGTGCCATTCACTTTATAAGAGGTTATATTTTACTTAAACAGTTTTTTACCTATAGTTATTTTATGTGTGGTTATTAAATCTTAATAAGAATTCATAATCAACTCTATTCAGTGGCGTATTTACGGGGAGGGGGGATTAAGGGGATGAATCTCCCTTCTTAGACTGTATACACACAAATAATTATAGTCATCATATTATTTAAAAAATTATTATTATTTTTTTTTTTTTATCAATAATTGATTAAATTTGCAAGAGTTAAAATATTATAATATATTGTACAATATTCTCATTGGTATTTTTATTTATTAAGTCATATTCCCCCTCCCCATGACAAAAATCTAAATACGCCACTGACTCTATTTATTTATGTTATTCTAAATATAAGTTATTATATTTTATCCATGTCATCCTTACTGAAGAACCTCAAAAAAAAAAAAATTTTTTTTTGTTTCTATTAAACAACTATTTATTGAATATTTTTTAATTATTTTTCTTTGGTATATTATTATATATATTTTATATACATTTTTAATTATCCAATTTTATTATAGTTTGTCAGCAAAAATATTAATATATAATGTAAAATAGTACCTATATATTGTGTAGTAAAGGTGGGAAGTGAGTTATTTAGTCGTGGGTAGAATTTTATTCAAAGCTAAAATTGTTTTTCTACACAAGCCATTAATGCAAGTTTTTAGTTTCGTTTTTATCGTTTCTAAAACCACCTATATATATATTAATATTACGGTAATCCATAAAAAAATATACTTCAATTCTTGGAACTATTCTCAGTATTTAGATTCATAAAACTGTTTCAAAGACTATATTAAATTAATCTACCTACCAGTTAATATTTGATATATTAGACAAAACTTATCAGTACGTTCATGTATATTAACTTGATTTGGCCTAAAAAAGCGTTTTAATGTCCACTTGACGGAAAATGAAATTTTCAAACTCTTCATTCGGTATTGAAATCTAAAATTTCAGCGCGGATATGATAAGAAATTGATTTGAAGTACCTAGTATGTACATTTATTAAATTTTTTTTATTTATAGATAATATGACTGATACAATTAAAGAACTTTGGCTCAACGCAGATGCAGTTTGTTTCGATGTGGATTCTACAGTTATTCAAGAGGAAGCAATTGACGAAGTTGCTAAATTTTGCAATAAAGGATCAGAAGTTCAAAAATTGTATGAATATTATTTATTTATTGTAAAAATAATTTATTTAACTATCTTTAATAGCACAAATATTTAGAAAATTGTTTTTTGTAAGGGGTTTGAAACAATAAAACGTTGATGTTCTGTTGTAGTTAAATACACGTAGAACATAGGAATTTAGGCGTGTTTTATTTATAATGTAATGATTGATCTAATAAAATTAAAAGAATACGAAAAAATCTTTGAATTTGTGGTCAAATCTAAATAAAATAGATTTTTAAATAATATTAAACTCAATTTTAATTTTATCTCCCTAAATCCTGAAAAAGATATAATTAAAAATATTATTTTAATTTTTGAAAAGTTAAAATCAAAAATGAAGGAAAGTTTAATTTTAGTAGACTTTACGACAAATTCTAATCTGTTTTCAGATTTTTCATTGCTTCATTAGATCAATTTGTACGTTAGAAATAAAAGAAATGTAAATTCCTATGTTAAACAAAAACAGTAAATCATTGTGCTATAATCCTTTTAATATTAAATTCAACATCCAAGGTGGTAAAAAAATATTTAACATGAGGTATTAAATTATAATTATTTTCATGTTTTTTTTTAAATTAAATAATATTGTGCAAGTGTACCTACAATGTATTTAATATTAAATACTATTAGTTATTAACGATTATCAAACTGAACTCTTGCACTCATCAATATTCATTGTTATATAATATGTTTTAAAAATATTTTAATAATCTCTCATCTGTTTGCGTACTAATTTTATTGCTAAATTAGATTTTGATTACTATTAATTGATTAAAATGTAATTGGATAATTGGTACCCACTATCTATATTTTTATTTACTGGGAAAACGATTAATTAATTTGTTACATAAATGTATTTAAAAATCATACGATGTTATTATATTTTTAAATTAATTAATAATAAGACTATCTGCTCGTAAAATAAATCATATAAAAATTAGTTTCATCATTAATTTTATTTCGTTCTTATAATAAGTACTTACATGACTTACATGAGCACCTGCATTCACATATTATTGTATATTTGTATAGGTATTAGGTACCGCCGGTACCGGTACCGGTACGAGGTGTGCCTAAGTATATAGGTACAGGATCGTTAAAATTGTAGATTTCTAAAATATCATGGATTATATTAAATTGTTTGAAATTTTAAATAATTATTACTGTTTTTATAATTTTATAATTCGAATGTATCACTATAATCGGCTTATGGTATGAGGAAAAACTGTAAAAAATGTTTAAAACATCGTCATTTTATTTTAATTTTGCTTATTCTGTATTCAACACCTTAGAAACAAAGTTGTACATTACATATAATTGGAGCAAATATCGACTATGGATGACATATATTTTTAGTGTTTGGACACTTTAGTGTGGATGAATAATACAATTTCACATCGTTGTATAATTTTGACATGCAATACATATAAACGCGAAATTATATTATAAATAGTTTATGTTAAACACGACCAAATTTAAAGTAGACCTGCATTTCAAAAATAATTTTTATTTTTTATTTTTGGTACAGCTTCAATAATTATTAGCTTACAATAATGTAACATGTTAATGCTACATAAAGTTTCCCTAGATTAATAAAATATTATATGAAATATAATATATATCTCTAAATGATTAGTAATGGACCAGTTTTGAAAAAACGATCAGTTCCTGGTTCTTGACCTGTTCCCAAAAATGTCTCCATCGTCATTGGCGTGGGTACATTTAAATCTTATGTGGGCTACGTTATTTCTTAGTTAGGTACCTACCTACACTACTTGCAGGAACAACCAGATGAATATGGAGTCGAGGCGTATATTATGCACCTTTACAATGGTCTGATTATATAATTTGTAATCATAGTTCTGCCGATGACGCAGCATGCTTTAAAAACATAAAACACTATTATTGAGAAAAAAAATAAGAACCGATAATTTTCGGTTCCTAGAAAATCGAAGGAACCGGTGAACCGAGAACCGGAACCGGCCCATTCCTAATAATGATAATTCATTAATTATTAGTCATTTCAAATATATCTAAACAACAAAGTGTATATTTTGATCTTTTTATTTAAATTATTCAGTCCAGGTATATTATAATGGTATAGTTACGAAAAAACCAAAAAAATAAAACTTAGTTTGATTAATTGATTAATATATTCAATATTGTTTGTACTACCTAATATTTTAACCAAGTTTTGAAAATTTTTTTCATTATTTCCATGCTCTTGAATTTTAAATTGAAATCACACAAGTTATATCTTAGCATGATACCACACAGCAATGTTGGCACTATGTTATACAAAATATATTGTATTTGTATGTCTATTTATATTAATACGAACCTAACATTTCAGGACAAGCAGTGCAATGTCAGGTAAAATGGACTTTAGAGAAGCACTCTCAGCTCGACTTCAGATAATCAAGCCGTCATTGCAGCAAATTCGAAATTTCATCAAAGACCGTCCGTTTAATTTGACTCCAGGCATTAAGTAAATTGAATCAATTGATTAAACAAAATAAATAAATAATTTTATGGTTTGGGTCCAGTTTTTTTTTATAAAAATTGTATACTTAATCTTAATTAGCTTCTTAAAAATAAATCATTTCTTTATTATTAAATGATTTTATAAATTAATTTATCAATTATTTCAGGGAACTTATCGGATTATTGCAACAAAAGAATATTCCCGTGTACTTGATATCTGGCGGATTCCGTGGTCTCATTGGACCAATAGCTATCGAATTAAGCATTCCACTACAACACATATACGCCAATAAATTAAAGTTCTTTTTAAACGGTAAAATTTTGATCAATTTATACAAATGATAAAATATTTTGATTAATTATGAACAAAGAACACAAATATTTTGTTTAATGACAAATTGAAAAACCCATTATTGATTTCAAATTTTTAGTTTAGATTTTATTAATTTTAAAATAGAATACACTTTTAATATAAAGTTCGTTTCGTGTATTTTACATAACATTTCACGATTTTATTATACCATACCCATTTTTGTTATTATTGATTATTATCTTGTGTTGAATTTCATAATATGTTGTATAATTTTTTTTAAATGTTTAATTTAAAATATTTGTGGGTTCTAACCGTTTCATATTATTTTTTTAAAAGTATATATTCATATACATAGCTATTGTACTTTTTTTATATTACGTATTTACAACTTTTTAATTTATCAGTGATTATAGTGTATTATACACTTTACCATTTTTGACACTTATAATCCATATAAAACATGATATAAATTTAAATTGTTGTAAAGCAAATTTAATATATTTGAAATCAATGACACATGATTATACTTTATTGAATAATATTATGTAGAGTTTATATGTTTTATGATGAAGATAAACTTAATATATATAATATATATAATATTGTACGCCGATATTGTGTATATTTATTTATTTTTAATATTTATATGAATAGGAGATTATGCCGGATTTGATGAAAAAGAACCTACATCAAAGAATGGTGGTAAAGCAGAAGTAATACAGATGTTAAAAGAAAAATATGGTTATACAAAGTTGTTTATGATTGGAGATGGAATTACTGATTTAGAAGCATCTCCTCCTGCTGATGCATTTATTGGTAAATTTCTAAGTTATTATATAAAAAAATCAAAAAATATTAAATCTAGTTATACATTTAAACAGTACTTAAATATTCTATTCGTTATTTTTCTAATTTTAAATTGTTTTTTCAATATGTGTTATTATTATTAAACAGTTTTAATTTATAGATTCTTTAATATTATTAAATTATTATGTTTAGGGTTTGGTGGTAATGTTGTCCGAGAAGAAGTTAAGTCCAAGTCAAAATGGTATGTTGAAAGTTTTCAAGAGCTTATCGATACTCTAAAGTGACTTTAAATGACTTAACAATTTGTTATTATAATTGTAACTATTAAGTACTGTGTCTGGACAATTATGTACCTTATTATAAATATATGAGATGACAAGCACTATACTATCTATAGGTACTTATTAATTTTCCTCTTATAATTTGGGGATAATAACACAACAGTTATACTTAATTATTATATTTATTTATCATTTTATATATAAATCTCATGTAATTGTTTTATATTTTTATTATTTATGAATAATTTGTACCTAACATCTAGTACAGACCAATAAAATAACATTTTATCTATGGGTATATTTTATTTATCGAAAACCATAAATTCTATAAATCTTTATATTGACATAATGTCTTGTATATTAACATTGAATAACATTAATTTTTAAATGTATTTACCGAATTTTTATTGTATATTGTCAGGATGATCCTCGTTTTTATAACTATAAAAAAAGTTAAATCATAATATTAAGGCTTTTCCATTTTACTATTAAAAATAATTTTAATTACATTTGGTGGTTATAGTTCACAAATAATTAAATGGTGTTCAACAAATTAAAACTATAGTGACCTTATGTACTTGTATACACCTAAATACATAATAATACATCTTGTTATAAATTATGAATTATTTTAACTTTTCTCTGAAAAAATAAATATTAAAAATAAAATTAGCTGTTAAGAACTAAAATTAAATTTTAATTTATCTCTATATCATAGAACATTCATTATTTTGACTTTTTTCATTCAAGTGATGATAAACTGGTAACCGCATTAAATACATATGTTAATATGATCATTATTAAACAGCGTTGTTGATATAAAATAAAGGATACATTACTGTTGTCAGTGCATTATTCGGTATCTGATGAGCATAGAATTATCAATTAATACATTGTATGGTGTAACGCAGCGCAAGTTTACAAACATAGGTAATTAAGGTGAAATTAGTATTATATCTGATATGTCTAAAATAATTAGTATTTTTTATGCCAAAATTGTAATTTAATTTAAAATATATAAACTATAAATATATAATATCATATAGCAGGAGTGGCCAAATTGCAGCTCGCGAGCCGCATGCAGCTTCCATCATAGACTCATATGGCTTGCATCTTATCGTAAGACACAAACATTATTACAAAAAAAATGAATTTCAATATGAATTTATGTATTTGAAGAAGTATAATATTTTATTAAATTTCAATTAATAGAAAAAATTTACAAAAAAAAAAATAATAGTATTTTTGATATAATATTTAAAATATGTACCTATTTATTTTTATTTTTAATATTATTTTTAATATTATTAATTAATATCATATATTGTTTCATATTTTAAACATTTTATTACAATAAATATCTATTTATCTTCTTTACAATAATTATATACATACATTAATATGAACTTTTTAAGATTCTGAACGGAGTGATGAATATATTGATTTTACAATGATGTGTATTTATTTTTTTTTTTTGTGTGTCTGTGTACAGCATAAGTAATCGAAATAATGCTTCAATTTCAAACTTTGGGGGTGATTTCCGATGACAAAATGAAAATCCTTGGTGCATTATACAGGTAAAAAGTAAATATTTTCCAACGGTTTTCAAAAAAATCGAGAAAAACAATAAAAAAATGACGGAAAAATGGGAATTTTTACGCAAAACCAGTTTTCGACCAAATCGATTTTTTTATATGGTTGTAATTCAAAAACTTATCACTGTAAAAACTTAAAATTTTCACCAAATGATTATGTTAGTGTTATCTATATACAGTTTAATTTTCAAAAAATTTTGACTATTTTCGAGTTATTTATAGACTACTGAAATTATCGATTTTTATGAGAATTTTTTTTTGAAGTGTCGATAAAAAAATTTTGGATTACCAAAAAATGTTGAAAATGTAATACAAAGTTCCTTATGAGTTTTTCTTATTGTAGTTAAAAAAAAATAAAAATTGCTAATCACAATTTTTTTTTATAAACGTTTATAGTTCAAATATTTACAAAAACTATCGAAAACGCGAAAATTTGTAAGTAATTTTGAAGTTGAAAAATCATAACATTTTTTGTGTTAATAACTAAGGATAAAAAATACTACACTATGTTTTCCCTAAATTTTCCTTCAAGTAGCTATTGTAAAAACTCGAAGCATCATTATAGGAAAAATTTTAAGTGCGTTTGAATTTAAATTTTTTACGAAATAGCGTGAAAATAACGATTTATCCTCAAACGATTTTAAATATTTGTTAATATTCAAAAAGTATAAGTCATAGATACTTGAAAATATTACCAGTTATTTAGATTGTCATTTTCTTTATATAATTTAATTTTCAAAATATTTTGACTTTTTTTGAGCTATTTATAGACAACTGAAATTTTCAATTTTTCTAAAAATTTTTTTTTGAAGTGTCGATAAAATATTTTTGGCCCAATCAAAATACTTGAAAATTTAATACAAAGTTCCTCATAAGTTATTCTTATAGTGATCAAAAAATTTTAAGAATACATACGCACAATTTTTTTATTAGCATTTGAAGTTCAAATATTGACTAAAATTCGGCAAAATCATGAATATTTGCAAACTATTTTATAGGTATAATTCATAAAAATTAATAATTAATTGATTAACCATGACTTTTGCAAATACGTCCTAATTGAAAAATAAAATATTTGTTTCAAAATAGAATGTATGACAATATTTAAATATAATATATCCTAGACTGACAAATCATCTCCGTTCAGGATCGTTTTTCGTATACAATGATACCTATCATTGCATTCAAATTTAACCTACTCTAGTCCGAGGTTCACCCCACTCCCTAATGTACAGCAGAGCGGTACCCACTTGCCCGCTTTTTTCATTTTGGCTCTTCCATATTTATTAATATATTGGGCGGCTCGCAAGTCTCTTCTTGCTGGCCACCCCTATTATATAGTATGTAGTATTTACCTAACCTATACCAGTGGTTTCTAAAATCTTTAACAAATAAACTACTCAATATTCGAAATGATTACTTTTTTTATTGATGATAATAAATACCATTATGGTAATAATTATAAAATATGAATTTTAGTAAGTTACTACATAATATGTTTTCTCAGCAATGTTTACACGTCAGATTTTTTTTTTCCATACAGTTCAGCGTGTATTTTTTACTAGTTAAATATTAATTTGTAGGCATTTTTTGAAATTGTATTTCAGACTTATCGTTTCTTACATAAAACACTTCATTGTCTTCATTATTAGTTTAAATTTTTGAAGTTGTACAAATCAAACGTTAACATTTTTTGGATAATAGTTTAGTGTATAATTTATCAATAATTCATGTCGTATAACATAACGTTATATTTGTTTACTTTATGTTTGTAATCGGTGTTTTGTATACTTGTACTCATTATAAAAGTAGTATTGATTTTTCAAGTACTTGTTAAGAATTCAATAAAATATTAGGAGACTTGACTTGTTTATAAAATTAAGCTCAAAAAGTATTAAATTTTTGAGTATCCCGTAAATTTTTTTTTTATTCAAGTAAAATATAAAGACAAGTATTGATTTTTATTTAAATATTTAAAAAATTAATGTAATCAATTATGCCTGCGTTGAATTGTATTGTAAAATCAATTATATGTTTAATAATAATCATAAATTTATTTTTGCGTACACACTAATACTGCATAGGTTAATAATACATTGTAAACCTTAATAATATTATGTCAAATGCGTGTTATAAATAATGCAAACATGTATACCTATTGTACATTGACAGGTCTAAAGTTTAAAAGTAAATGATAATGATTTTTTGTAGATACAACGTGTATATACTTAAGTGTGCTGTTTTCGGTAATGTCCGACAACAGTGTGAATGGACTACGAGGGTCGAGAAAATCAATAAAGATGTTTTTAACTGTATAATGTGTATCTACTATACATACTATATAATATATACATTACGCATGGTGAATGACCCCCCAGAGTCTTCTAACTCCTATTTGATTATTATAAAATAGTATAGCACCTAATTATTTTTGGAACGACGAGTTAACAAACGATTTTTGTAATTACTTATCAATGTCAACTATGCAAGTAATTATGAGTACCGATGATTTCTAATAAGTTTTCCGTGATTCAGTAGTTGTGTTTTACCAGACGACACACGTGAGAAGGAATTTCTTCATTGTTCTCGTGTTAAAACAAAATTGAAACATATACATTCAAGGAAAGCAGATAAATCAAATAAGTATATAATATACAATAAATAAGTCCACGGTTAGGTGTTAAGTATTTAAGGTTTAGCCGTGGCTAAATACTATAATAATTATTGAGAACCACTTTAATATGCTATACCACACACACACACACATATATATAGTCTTTTTACAGTAAAGTTTATTGCATTAGTGACATAATTAATTCAAACGTAATCACACAAAATAATATGGCTGTGTTGATTGTCAGTTGTCACGCGGTAAATTTTTCAAACTTTTGAAGTGTCGGTTATTTATATATAATAAGATTAATAATTATAAGTGTATATGGATTTATAGTGTCGACGTCACTGCGGAATCCGTATACTTGGCGTTTATTTTTTTTAAATCATTAATAATTAAAAAAAAAAAAATCAACCTCTTTTATATTTTCAGCGATTGGTTTGACAACAGTTTGACTGGTTCATGATCAGTCGTTCAACAGACCCTTTACGATTTACGAGGGTTTATAATATTATACTCTTTTTCTCGGCTACCGACTGTTCTTATACATCCCTCTCATCGCTAGTTATTTTAATATTCTCCATTTTCTATTCCTAATAGTACCTACTACTATACTATAATATATCTTTGACAATCTTATCTCTCTATCGTTGACTGGACTGTAATTTATGGTTGGTTTTTGTTCAGGTTTCATCTTCGAGCCAAACCAATGTCGGAGCCATGGTATCATAATTTGTGTATTAATGGGTGGCAGCAGCCCTTAAAATTCACATATTATCATCACATCACATAGATTACACGAAATTAAATTAAATAATAATATTAATAAAAATGAGGTTACGACGAACACTTGAAGCGTAATCCTGCAGAGTTCAAGGTGTATGATATTAAACTGTACTTGTATAGGTACGTATAATATGCATTGTGTGTGCAAGGGGTTAAATTAATTACTACGTGTATAATATATATATATATATATATATTTATATGCGTATAGTACATTTGAATCCTTATAATATAATAGAGTATATTATATACACTACCACGCCAAACACACTAGCCGTGACCTTCCCCGTCGACGATTAAGTATACATATACCTATAACAAAGAATATACTTATATATATATATTGTATTCAATGGGTTTGGCGTCGAAACAAATTGCAACGTTTTAATAATAGACATTAGATATATGGTATAAAAGTTCTGGCGAAAAATTCAAAAAATTACGTTTGATACATTAAAACGAGGCTTAAAAACAATGTTCATAACAACTAAAAGTCTCTATTTCACGTTAAGTTATTAACAACCTATATATCTACGCGTATACACGGGGCGCACGTTTCGCTTTCGTCTCGAGATGAAAACATTTTTATTTTCGTTTTTACGGGGTACTCCGACATCCGAGGTGTCGTGTGACATAAAATATGATTTAGGCGCCGTCGTGTACTTTTTTTTTTTTTTTATCATCGATCCCTATATTTTATGACACGGAACTCGGCATAGATCGATTTACGGCAAGCCGAATCACTATTTACACGCCGTACGCGGTATTTGACGCGCGCTTGATAGTCGTCACGATCGCGAATGTTATCGACCTAGACAATCGTATAGACATAGATACCGTATGATATACCGTTTAGGTAACCGTAATGACGTGGTCACTACTGCGAAATCGCTGTTTAGTGCTGTGCAGGTTACTCGCGGCATAGATCATAACAATACGATCGTTAAGCATTGTAATAATATGTAAAACGACTTTTGCCCGCCCGCAAGTGACTTTTAAACGCGGTCTATTTATAAACCACGGTCGAGTGCGTTACGCTTGAACTTTGTGCAACGAGTACTGGGTCGCATACTTTAGGTGTGTTTTTCGGTGCAGGTAAGACGCGATTTTGTCAGACTATTTTCGTACAACGGTTATAATTCCATTAGCGAGCAAATCACGCGAGAGATCTGTGTTGAGTCGAATACGACGGTTTTCGCAATAATAATATGTAAAATCAACACTGGCCGGGTTAATCATCGACCTATCGTTCCCCTCGGACCAAATCGCCGCTCATCCGAGCCCACGCCATTTACAAATCGAAAAATACAAACAAAATGTTTTTATGTGGGACCACTAACGTCATTGACTATAATATCCTATAAGCGTATATATATATATAGGACCTATAAATATAACCTAACCTATATTATAGGTACTTAACTTTGTTTCGTGTTAATCTGTGATTGCGGCGTAATTATACGAGCACCCGTCACGATTTACCTTATTTATTTTTTTTTTTGGCTATTGTACTGTGGATTGTGAATCGTGATATTACATATTTACGGTACACTTTTTTACCAATGAAGAAAAATACATCACAGATATTGTGTGATTGCTCGCGTGTGTGTGATTGAAGAAAACACTGTTTATAAAATAATTTATCTTGTTTTACAAAGTTAGTTAACAGTTGCATTAGTAATCGTGACCAATTTATTTGTGCACATAAGGACTTTTAGTCTTTGAGCTTTCATCTACAAAGTTTAAAGCTAGACTTGTCAAGCGCTGTAAAAAATGTCAAAAATTCAATTCACGTGCTTGAAGATATACTTAAAAAAAAAATCCAATTACGACATTTTATCAAGCATTTTATTTCAAAACATAGTTTAAAAATAGTAAATATTATTGATGAGGAATTAAGAGTTCCTCGACTTAGCTCAAAGTAATAAATATTACTATTAAAACTAACGGCAATCCTATATTACGGAATAGTTTAATTTAGTTATTTTTAGGTTAAATTTTTTGAGGATTAAAATCCAAGTCCAATAAAGTTACGATTTCTATAAATTTATTCCGCACTTGAAGGACTTGTATGAGCTAAAAAATAAGTTTGTCTCACATGACACAACACAAACAAATCTTAAACACTATACAACGCTCTCTGCTGAAGATTTATACTTGCCCGGAGGTTTGGTTTATATTATTATACATTTTAAGTATATTTACTTTACGCACAATTGTTAGCAGTTAACGCCCACCATAAAAAAATCTTAGATCTACGACCGAGTGAACTTGTGTTGTACGTTTAATATTATAGTTAGCCGGCAACGACACTCTGCGATGTATCGAGGAACGCGCATTAATTTAGCGACCAGGGTTACGCGCGCAGCACGAACGGCAAAAGGTTCGTCCGAGCGACCAGTCATGTTTGTGGGGTGGTCGGATTAGTATATATTATTATCGTCCGCTGACGTCCGAAAAGACGGTGCACGTTCGAATCAAGAAATGGAGAAGTACAAAAATTAATAACTTTTTTTCAATTTTTCTTCTCGTTTTCAAACATTCCAGTGTTTTTTTTTTTTTCAAATTTTATTTCGTTACGTCTAAAATATATTTTATTATACGAGCTATATATTTGTTCACCAAACTATAAATCATACTCATTGCATCGCCTTGCGTACGTATATTAATTATTGTACAAATTTATTTTGGTGTTTATACACTGAACGTAATGTATTAAATTTGTACTAGAGTTTATATCATAGTTTTTTCACAAGGATATTAGTACTTATATATACATTTATAGCTATAGGTACTTTTACCTGCTTAATATCTAAATGTCTTAAAATAACAAAAACGACAACCTTATTGTTGGTTCAAAATGTCCGAAGTATGTAAATTACTAAAACTAGAAATTATAGAAGCTATTGAAAAAATATTAAATTTAACATTCCAATTTCTTGTGCCTAATGTTCTGAAATTATCTAATAATTATTTGTGAATTTACGGTATGTCGGTATAGTAGTACTTTTTGTTTACACGAAATCAATATTTTTGTTTATTTTAACATTATTGCATTACTCATTGAATAATTATTGTCAACAGAAGAGATAAACAATATTATCAATGCACAGTTACAACATAATTTGATTACCTACTATTTTAGATTATACGCCAAATAATAGGAGGTCATATTGGCAATTATTGCATGATCGCAGTTGTAATAATAATAGTACAAATACATTATTACAATTTGAGCCGTGATTACACCTGTAAAGCATAATTTAGCACTACAATTGTAATAGTCCCACGAGAAGATAAAAAAGTATTTTTGATACAATTTATTTAATCATACTATCTTAATTATATTATATTATAAGATGCCCCATCGCCCTTGTCCTTCAATAATTTTTTTTTATCACTCATAGTCATGTTCGCGGCGACTGAATTTGGGCCTCCTCTTTACGTGATCAATAATGTTTAGTGAACTATTTTTCTTTAATTCTTATTCAATACAGCCTATCTCAATTACTATAGAAATTACTTACATACTTGACACGTCAAGTAAACCACACACTCATATATTAGACATCGCTAACATTAAATTAAGATACATAATTAAGAATATATATTTTTTTTAATTTAAACTTTGTATTTACAATTGGTGTTGACAATTATTAAGAATTTAAAATAATATATTTAATAATAGATGTTAATAAATTGGCTTTAAAAAAAAAAAAAAAAAAACATTCATCCAGAAAAGTGCTAGTTCGACATTTAATAACTGTTATTGGCATTGATACTGAGTGTTATAAAGGATCGATTGAAAAGGTCATTATAATTTTAAAGTTCGTTTAATTAAAATATTCAAGGCTTTGTTATAAAATATCAATTATTTAGACTAGAAAACGTCTATTCCATCTCAATTGCCTTATTTAATACTACATGTACCTAGTTGTACAGTATGTACTAAGTATACGTCTTGCATTTTGCTTAAGTACAGATTTAATACTTATACTTATATTTGCTTCAGAATTTGAATAAAATAAAAACTTTTATTCGCATAACAACCTGAGTATAGAAAACTTGAATTAATACTATATACAAATTATCTGAACAAACTAATCAAAAATGTCGTAAAAGACTGATGTACCTATTTCTTGCGTGACAAAAGTTCATTTTAGAAATCATTTCATTCATTTTATACGGAAATAAAAATAATCAAATGTGTAGATAAACTTTTATTTTCTGCTTGAGAAATAAAACATTTTACATTTTAATGACATTTAAAAATCTGTTATAGGATATATTTTTGAAGTTAATAACATATATTTTAATAAAATTATACTCCATTCAGTTTAATATTAATTATTAATAATATAATATTAATTTCCAATTATTAGGTAGGTAAATTTAAAATTCCAAAATATGCTATATTCAATATGTTATTCTAATAGTGTAATATACTAGCTGTTGTTATAAAAACTAATTTAAAACATAAATTGAAAATGTATTAGTTAATTACTAAATTGATAGTGAGCAAATCTTAAAAAGTTAAAAATAATTAATAAAGTAAAAATTATCGAAAAAAATATTATCTTGCTATGAATTTTTAACTTTTGATTCATTAATGTTTACCCTTATTTTTGTTTGGACTACATATAGGTCTTAAGTAATTGAGAGCATATTATTTCATAGTTATAGGCTATAGCTTAAAGTATAAATGTAATTTTATAATATATTAATAATAGTTAATACCTAAAACAAATCAAATTGATGAATTGATCTAGACATCGGAAGACTGAAAATATGCGTTGTCATAACAATATTTTATCTACTTTAAAATAGATGTATTCAAATAGGTATACTTAGTAAAAATTTAAAAATAAACTGATCTGATTGACTTTTTTTGAAAAAATGTCTTTCAAATATGCGTTAAATTATTTATTTAGTATATTATGGTGATATACGATAATATTATTATTCATGTCAATACCATGATGATATATAATATATTGTTTTAACTTTTCATTCACCTTGAAAGTAAATTGTGGGCGTAGGTAGTTTATTTCATATTTCATGATGGATAATACCCTATTTTCTGTAACTAATATTATTGATGAAAAAACGCGATTTCATTATATTTTATAGTTATAACCTACCTATTATTTACAGATTAAAACAAATTGTATTTTGTATTTGCATCAAAATGACACTATAAAACATTTTGAACATTTCCTTGCTTGATTTAACTGCTAAATTTTGTATAGTACACTATAATATAATTCATATTATTACATTACAACAAAATTAATTTAATTTCACTAAAGTAAAATAAATATGTAAAATACAATTTTTTAATTAAATACTAAATAGATAGCCATCATAATTATGTTAATAATTTTTGGCAACTACCTAGTTGAATACTTCGATTATATTAGTGGTGTGATAATTTTGTTCTCATAAATCTCCCTTTATTTAATAAAATAAAATAGTTAGTTTAAATATTTAGTGATAGTTGAACGATAATTTTAGCGATTCTTGATTATTTTAGAAAAATTGACATTAATCTGATGCTATAAATAGATAAATATTTATTTGTATAATAATAGTTAATAAATATGTTGTAATGTTTAAAAAATGATTTCAGTATGTTAGACATAGAAGAAAAATGTAGTAAACTAAACATAATATATGAACAGCCAACATCACCACAGTCACCACCGAGGGAACAGAGAGAAGAATGGGGTAACAAACTTGACTTTTTGTTCTCGTGTATTAGTGTATCCGTTGGCTTAGGAAACGTGTGGAGATTTCCTTACTTGTGCTACAAACATGGCGGGGGTAAGTTATTCATTACTTACATTTTTTATAACTTTATTATTTGTTATGTCTAGTTATCGTTATCACCCTTCTATTTTGAAGTATTTATTTATCTTTTAATACAAATGACTCAGATATATCACTAGGGAACTGAGGAAGCGGCTTTATATAAATCTAATAAATTTAACGATACAAGTATATTATTTGATTACAGTTCATTGTTATATTTAACAACAATTATATTTATGATATACTTATTTAATTTAAATTTGAATTGTATCTTGTAAGTGAAATTCAAGAAATTTTTTAGGTATCTGTTTATTTTGTCATATTACATTGTTATATATTTCGAAGTATATTTAAACTAATTAATTAAATAAGACAACAACAATAGTATTATTAGATATAGTTTTAATATAATGCCAAACTATTTTTGCGTTGACCGAAATAATAATTATTATAAAAATATTGTACTATATAATTTTATTTCATTAATTATCAAATGATCTTATTGATATTATATTAACATTAATAATAGACAATAAGGTTACATTATAATTTTTTATTAAATGAATTAATCATGTACCCATTTGTTGTAAACAGTCAAATTACTATTTACAAATAATTTCTAAAATATGTACTCTCATGTTTAGAGAACATTGGTTAAAAAAAATAATATTAATAATTGCAAATACTAACATATTAAGTTAAAATTAAAGTAACCATTGATAATTATAACTAAAAATACATTTTGTTACTGAATCTACACGTGACTGTAGAATTATATTTTTATTGTCAGTTTAAAATCGACTAGATATTGTATTATGCTGTTCTCCGTACATACTATATATACAACATGGAATTCTTGATACATAAAACATTAAATTTATTTACTATACTAAATAATACTATCGCGCATAGTTTGGTTCTTTGGTTAATTGATATTTTACAATTTAACAATTTTAGTACTATACGGTTTTGAAATTAAAACATTGATACTCAACAATAACAATAAAATGTGTGGAATAGATAAAAGTAATACAAAGCCTAATGGCCCTATAATAGTATATAAATGTATAATATTATTTATTTTTAGTTGTTCAAGAAACATTTTTCTTACTCAAAAAAAAAAAAAAAGAAATGTTTTATTTATAATAAGCTAGATAATATGTATTATATATTTATATAGTTAATATTATAATATGTTTTTGTAATAAAATAAATGAACACGAACTGAAATTTTATTGCATTTTTCAAAATATATGAAAGCTTCTTGCCAACATTCCAATAAAAACTAATTTTAGTGACAGTCAGTTTATAAATTTAAATGGTTAGTGTTGATTATATACCTAATAAAAGGAATTTAATTGAATATGGATACAATGATGACGTGCAAATATATTAGTTACTTATTCCGCGATCGTATAAGGTGTTTTGATTTATAAGTAATAATATTATGCACTTTGATGATTTATAAAAATTTGTTTAAAAATAAAATCAATCCTGGTTAAACTTGATTTGAGAGTGTTCTTCTGGAAAACAATTGAAAAAATGTAATTTACGAATCAAATATTTAAGGTTAAATAACTCGTATTGAACGGTTTTTTTGTAAAGATATTGAAAAAAAAAATATTTTGATTCTGAAATATTATTTCATTATAATTATTAGATTAATGGTACAATTCAAAATATTTTAGGTGCATTTTTGGTAACTTACTTTATAGCTATGATATTTTGTGGAATACCGATTTTTTTTCAAGAAGTGGCTATCGGACAGTATTTGGGTTCTGGTGGGATGACGTTGGTTGGAAAGTTATGTCCAATACTTTCTGGTAAAAATTTTATTTTATTGAATAAGTGTTTTTAATAATTTAATTTAAATTTTATCCGTTTTATTTTTAATTAATTTTATAAATACTTTAATATGGATTTATTTGTCGTTTAGGAACTGGTTATGCTACGATGACTATAGTTTTCTTACTGGATGTGTACTATTGTGTTATTGTAGCATGGACATTTTTTTACTTAGCAAGTTGTTTCATATCATATCCGACTTTGCCGTGGGAAAGTTGTAGTAAGAACTAAGATTTATTAAATAATTATTTTAGAGTTCGCTGTATTGAAATCAATCAAAATATTAAATTGACGACTTAATAATTTTTGTTTCAGACAATTGGTGGAACACAGAAAATTGTTTGAAGCCAAATAATGTTAATATAACTCACGAGAATTTTAGTATAGATACAATAAAACGCATGTTTAATACATCTTTGACGCTCAATAGCAATATAGATTTGTGGAATCAAATGTATTTCAATAAAACGTATAAATCACACGGTAATATTTTCAAAAACGATGGTCAACTTACGGAATTCTGTCACACTATTAAGTTATTGTCATATGTTGATGTTTCGTTAAACTTTACCGACATAGAAACAAATAATTCGTCTGCCCTTCGTCCAATACAAGGTCTTGACTTTTTGAACCAACTTCGAAATTGTTTCAATGTAACGACTGTGACACCAGCTGAAGAGTATTGGGAGTGCGTGAAGCGTGTCAAAATGTTCAATTTTGTCAAATTTTCATGGTTTGGGGTATTTTTGTAGGAAAAGAGTGCTCATGCTGACTAGCGGTATTGAAAATATTGGAGGAATGCAATGGGAACTATTATGTTTATTAGGAGTATCGTGGATCTTGATTTATACCATCTTGGGCAAAGGTCTCAGTCAGAGTGGAAAGGTAATAAATTAATAAGTAATATGTATGATAAACAATCAATTTAAATAACAGTTTGAAATGTCTAAGGAAGTATACTATTTTAATGATAAATACTCGTAGATAGTGTGGTTCATAGCAATGTTTCCATATTTAATAATGGGAGCATTACTGATCAGAGCAGTGACGTTGGAAGGAGCTAGTCAAGGTATCAGATACTTAGTCACTCCAAGATGGGAGAGTCTTTTGAATTCAGACACATGGATAGAAGGAACAACACAAATATTCTTTGGCTATAGTGTCGGAGTTGGCACTTTACCAGCTCTCGGATCATTCAACCGATTTCATCACAATTGTTATAGGTACGAATAATTTATCATAAAATGTATAATGATACGAACGTCTTTAAATTATTTTATAGGGATGCAGTATTAACTTGTGTTATTAACACGCTCACGTCTATCATACCCAGTGTAATAACATTCAGTATATTAGGTTTTATTGCTGCTTCTCAGGGAGCTACGGTTAGCGATGTTGTGGAAAGTGGACCTGGTTTGGTATTTATAACTTATCCACAAGTGGTGCTTCAGCTACCCGGGGCAAGAATATGGGCAGTTGTATTCTTCGTCATGCTTGCTGTAGGTATGGCAGCTTAATTTCTTGTGTGAATTTACTTACGACTTATATAATATGTAAAAATCATTTTGATTTGTTGGGTTAAGATGATTGGTATCGATAGTGAATTTTGTAATGTTGAATCATTCATAACCGGACTGACGGATAAGTGGCCTAAGTACTTACATGCTAAACGAAAAACTTTCACATTGTTAGTGTGTATAGGTATGTTTGTGTTAAGTTCGTCCATGGTGACTAATGTAAGTAAATATAAAATTGTAATTGAATTATAATATGTACTTCAGAATTAATTTAATAATTTCATCACATATTATATTGTCTAGACAAAAATATGAAAAACATTTTTTTTTTTTTTATATTTCAGGGTGGAATGTATATATTTCAATTAATGGATACATATTCGGCATCGGGAATATCGTTGCTTTGGGTGTGTTTCTTTCAAACTATAGCTATTTCATGGTTCTTTGGAGCTGATAGATTTCGCGAATGCGTCAATCAGATGCTCGGTTTTCGACCAAATTTGTTCTGGTACATCTGTTGGGTGTATCTTGCACCTTTCGTCATGATCGTAAGATTGTTCTATATTTTGTTTGAAATAACATTACCATATAAAATACAAATTTAATATTTTACAGACGGTATTTGTATTTTTTATCATAAAGTATGAACCGGTAAAGTATGGGAATCATTATACATATCCATGGTGGGGTGAAGGATTAGGAATAATAATATCGTTGATTTCCATGATATGGATACCGCTATATGCTGTTTACTATTTAATGACGGAATCTGGAACTTTAAAACAAGTAAGATTGTTAAATTACATACCTATAAAATGTATTGGTAATTATTAAATAAGTTTGTTTTGTTAAATTACAATTGTGTTTTTAGAAGCTCAAACGAGGTTTTACACCTATTCCGGAAGTCAAATGCAGAATTCAGATAAAAAAAGAAACTGAAAATATCATTGATAAGAGAATTAACATACAATTAATGGAATGCAATACGTTGGTATACTGTGGCAATAATGATAGTAAAAATATATGAATACCAATTTTAGTTAACTATAACGTTTAATGTTCCATTATTCTTGCATTACAGCAGTATTGTAGATATTTGTTTATGAATTCAAATAGGTTAACACTAAAACAAAATTCTATATTTTTGACATATAGGATTGTATTTTATTTGTAAAAGTTGATTTATAAGATAATTAGTGTTTTTTATATTGATTAAATTATCAAAACTATTTATATGATTAATATTCTATAGCGCAAATCGCAAGTGTACTATAACTAAAAATTAGGTTTTTCCCTTAAAGTAAATTGTTCATTGTATTGACCATTGGCAAAAAATAAATTGTGTGGGAATCGTGTAGGTAGTATTGTAGTGTCTTATATCGAATTTTTTTCACAAAATGTTAGTTATAATAAAAATTTACAAATATAAAAATTATTTAGACAGTACCTACATTGTATTGTTGAAATAAATAAACTATACTTATATAACGGTAAAATATAATTTGATGTTTTATTCAATGTATTGTAAATTAAATGCATTTAACAAAGATTTAATATGCTTTCTATTGCATAAATACGGTACCAATATTCCACTATTATTCCTATCAACGGTGAACGATGGTCAAATGCAATTTTTATGGGTTGCTAACTTAGTTAACGTAGATAACTGATTAAAACATAATGGAATAAATTATAAATTACTCTCGCAGTGTTGATGCTCATATTTTTTTTATTTCTTCATTTCTTACCATGCGCCGTTGACATTTCCGATCTTCTTGCATCAGTGACATTTCGTGTCTCTGTTCACTCTACAATATATCACTCACTTTTTACGTTTTATCTTATTCTTCCTTCTTTCTTTAGGACACGGTCACTCCATTTATAGAATGCTCTGTACACATTTTTTAATGTAACTTGCCAGCGATGAATAAAATCTAGACTAAAATAAATAATAATATGGTTTTATAATATTTTATGAATAAAATTTTTTTTTTAATTCAAAAGTCAAAATACATTATCATCAAATCAATTATCTATAATACGATAATTATAAATCTATAAAAAAAAAATCCTGGAAAAATTCAACAATTTATAAGAATAGTGTAGGTACTTGTGTTAATTAGGCACGATTATAAAAATAATATTTACAATAGATTTCAATTAATAAAATTAGAAACGTTCATATTTTGAATTTATATAATAAGTAGTAGTAAAAATAGTTGACTGTATTTATATATTTATAAAATACAGTTAAAAACTTAAAATGTGAAAACAATGTAATCACAAGTTTTTTTTATATGAACATGATAACTTATTACGATTCATTATATATTATGTAGTATAATTTTATTGTGAATTGTAGTTAGGAAATGTCTGGGGTATAGTGTATACCAAATATCATATCAAAAGAAAGTTAAAGATACAGGTTATGATACATTATGCTATAGATGAGAAATTTACATTTACGTGCATTTTATATAACAAGCAAACCTAATCAGTTCTATAAAATAATAATAACAAAATGCAATATACAAAATTACTGTAGGTATAAGAATATTAAGTATTTCGGTACTTTTTTTTAACAAATATTGTTTTTAGGACTATTTTTGTCAGGACTTTTTTCCCGCAGATTGATATACAATATGTTTTCATATAGTTATTTAAAACTGCGATAGACTAATCAATTAAAATATTACAAAAAAACAAACCTATCTATATTTATTTTATTTCATCATTATGACGACTTGTGAGGTTTAATAATTTCCGATGATAGCAACACGTTCAGCACAGTATATGACATCTTTACTATCTAAAATAAAAGATTTTTAAATACATTTTAAGATTATTGGCTTAGCTACTAAATTTAGTTTTCAATTATATTATATGACGTATCATATAACATTATATTATATTCGAATTTTATTCACTTAAAAATAATAAAACTTAATAATAACAAAAAAAAAATTTGTTTAAATAATAAGTAGTATATATTAGTATGTTCTGATGGCAACCCATGCATCCCATGCGTCATGTGTATGGATCAATGGAACGCACAAAACCCTAAAGTAATAATTTAATAATATAATAATTTATAGGGTTTTGTGCGTTCCATTGATCCATACAAAGTATAGCTAATTGTACAGTAGCAAACATTTTAATTTGACTTAAGCTCGGTGTAGCCATACTCTGTCTGATTTCTACGTTACGAATGAAATTTTCCATTTCTTCCAAATTTTTAGGTTGTAAATCCACTCGTAAGCACTTTTCAGTTATATATTTACAGTATTCGTCCATTTGTCTCATAATTTTTGGCTTTATGTTTAATTCTTTTTCATTAATATTCTCAGTAATACACCATTCTAATTCCTGAAGTCTTATTAAATCTTTACGATTTAGTAAGACTCCGCATCCGTCAATATCTTTAGATTCAATTACTAGGACGTTTGAACCACTATAAACCATAGTTGATATTTTATAAGAATCGGTATCCAGAAATGTCATACGTTTATATGATTGTGGAATGTTCAGTATAAAAGATAAGATATTACCCATAAGCGAGAATATACGTCTTAAAAAATCTATACTAATTTTAACATAACGTGATGATGTTAATAAATGAACGACTGTTTGAAATTGTTCTGTTGGATCGATACCGATAAATATAAATTTTCGACCTGTAAAATCTAACGCGTAGGATGTAGACTCAATGAGTTCGGTCGGAGGTGATGGCGGCACATAAGTGAAGGCTCTCTTCTTCTCGTTGTATAAGATAGCATTATCTACGATTGAACCGGCCATATTATAATTTAATTTAAAACTTGTAAAAACACTGAACACTGAAAAATTATAGAAATAATAAACACTAGACAATATTATAAGACTTGGAAAACTATAAGCTCAGAACAATTTATAAGACTGTTCGAAACGTAGATGAGAATTACAAGTGTGTAAGACTAAGAACAGACTGATTGAATGTCGGCTCTTGCAGAGCCAAATGCCTATCGATGAGTTCATTATTGGGTAGGAGATATATTATTGTTGTTGATAAGTATAATATCTAAGAGTTTAACGTAGTACATTGTACCTATAGTTTAGATTGGATATTAATATGTTATTCACTAATAAGTAATTAAATTGTTGTTGTTGAGTATATGTTATTAACTAATAGGTATGATAGTATTTCGTGGGAAGGTACAAATATCTTTATGTATATCAATAATTAATATGTTAATCAATAATATTAATTTTATCTTATTGTTATTAACTAATAGGTATGATAGTATTTCGTGGGAAGATTCTGATATCGTTGTATGTTATTCAATAATAGGTATATATTAATTTGTTATTGTAACTATAGCTATTAATGTATACAATAATATGATAATGATAACTTGATAACTGATCAGATGTAAACACGTAGTGGTTAAATATATAGATCGGGGAGAGGGTAAATGTACATCGCATACATACGCGATCGGTGGCGGACCAGTAAGGCTATGGTGAGGTGATGAAGGGAAAATATACGTCACACACGTAGCGGATCAGGCGGCGGGCTGGGAGGTCGTATGGGTCGCATAGGTCGTTGTTTTAATTAAATATGTAATTGATAACTCGTATCAGGTGATAGTAATAAAAAAATATAAGTACATAATTTATATTATGTTGATCACTTAACGGATAGGAAGTTGGTGGGGTAAATATACGTCACACACGTAGCGGATCAAGCGGCGGGCCGGAAGGTCGTATGGGTCGCATGGGATGCATGGGATGCATGGGACGCATGGGATGCATGGGTTGCCATCAGAACATACTAATATATACTACTATAATAACATTGAAAAAAAAATCTTTAAAAATTAACCAATTGTTATAGATATGTACATTTTATTTAATAGTATACGAGCTGATAATAGTATAGTAATATTACATTAGTATCGAATAGTATTTGCAATTAAATATGTTCAATTTGTAAGTGCAAAGTTATTGTAATAGGTAGGTATCTTAGTATTATTAAAATTAAATTTATAAATACAGTTTTAAAGTTCACGAAGCTAATATGAAGGATATTGACTAATATGCTATTTATTTTGCTTTAACACACTTGGGTAAACAGGTTTTTTAGAAAATGAATAATAATTTATACCTAAAAGTCAATTATTTAAGAGGTATTCTCATCAACGAATGTTTAGGATTTAAATAATAACACTATCGAGTATTATTAAGTATTGTGACTTGTGCAAGTACTAAAATCTAAAATGAACATATATTTACACTGTATTAAGTGTTTTTATTAGACATTCGTAGGACATTATCAGACATACTTGAAAATGTACTATAATTTTAATATTCTTAAAACTATTTTAAAAATTATAATGATTTTGATAGAAAAAATAAAATTTTATAGAATTCTATTTGTATACAAATCTATAGTAATAGTTAACAAGTTGATTAATTAGTCAATTTAGATTATATTTTTTTTTTCTAAAAAAATCATAAAAATATTATTTTAAAAGTAATTTATTTTATGATAAATCGCTTACCTTTAGAAGTAAATTTAAGTTTATGGTAAAAATGTAACCAACTGTAAATGTTAATGGGATTGTAGTTCTTGCCATCATTATTAAAATAGAACGTTTGGACGATTTGTTTAAATAGAAAAATGAATTATCAAAAAGAACACGTAATATTCTATCGTGCTAAAAATATTTTAGAAATTCAGTAAATTTTTATTAATTATATATTATTAAAATATTAAATATTAGACTTACTAAGTCCAAAAGCACACTTCCATAAAAAGTATAAATTGTAATATTTATAATAGCTGCTATACCGCTGGCTATACATATTGATAATATTGTTTGATTAATATAGCCCTAAAAGGTGAAAATTATTTTTTTAATTAAACTTGATGCATCACTAAATAATATAAATTATTAAAAAAAAAAATTTTTATAATTTCATTTAAAATTTGTTTTATATTAAGATATATTAATTATACTGTATACATTATTATCGATTACGAATGAGAAGTTTTATTAACTTGAAAAGACGAAATTGGTAATAAAATTTATTTATTAGTTATTAATTTATTATACTATTAACATAAAGTTAATAATTATCGAGGAGTAAAAATTTTCATTT